TTTTTCCTCTCCGGAAGGGAGTCTCTTCCTCTTCTACCCCAGCTAGGACTGTCCGCTGCTGCAGGAGTTCCTCTTATCCAGTTTTCAGTTCTGTCTCAGGGGTAATTTTTCCACGAGTAGTTGTAAATTGGCTGTGTCCACGGGAGGAGGTGAGCCATGTTGACTTCCTCTCCTCTTCCTCTATTTTATTTGTGGGATGCCTGCCACAATATGGTGATAAGTGGTGTGTAGCTCCGCACCAGGGATCCAAACGTGTGATCCCCAGACTGCCAAAGCAGAGCACGCAAACTTAACCACTATGCCACCGGGCCAGCCCCAATGGGATTGTATTCTTAATTTCTCTTTCTGCTGCTTCATTGTTAGTGTATAGAAATGCAACTGACTTTTTTATGCTGACTTTGTGTCTTGCAACTTTACCGTATTCGCTTATTATTTCTAAAATTTTTTAGTGGATTCTTTAGGGTTTCTATATTATAAAATCATGTCATCTGCAAATAGTGACAGTTTCACTTCTTCCTTTCCAATTTGGATACCTTTTATTCCTTTTTCTTGCCTGATTTTTCTGGCTAGGACTTCCAATACTATGTTAAATGAGAGTGGTGAAAGTGGGCGTCCTTGTCTGGTTCCTGTTCTTAGAGAGATAGCTTTCAGTTTTTCACCACTGAGGATGATATTAGCTATGGGTTTGTCATATATGGCCTTTATTATGTTGAGGTACTTTCCTTCTATACCCATTTTATTCAGAGTTTTTATCATGCATGGATGCTGTGTCTTGTCAAATGCTTTCTCTGCATCTATTGAGATGATCATGTGATTTTTATTCTTCATTTTATTACTGTGGTTTACAAATTTACACTTTTATCTCCAATCCTAGACCAGTCCTTTTCTAGAATTACTTACACAATATTTGCTAATTTTTTACCCTACACTAACAATGACTGTTAAATTTCTAAGCGTATTAAAAATAATTTGAACATTGGCTCTAATGCTAACCACCTCAACATAATTTTCCACTACAGAATTCATTGTCTAAAATGTGGCAAAAGCAATCTAAGAGACTATTGGGGAACAATTTATTTTTGTTTTTGTTTTTGGTGAGGAAGATTGGCCCTGAGCTAACATCTATTGCCAGTCTTCCTGATTTTTTTTTTTTTTTGCTTGAGTAAGATTGTTACTGAGCTAACATCTGTGCCAATCTTCCTCTGTTTTGAATGTGGGATGCCGCCACAGCATGGCTTGATGAGTTGTTTGTAGGTCCATGTCCAGGATCTGAACCTGCAAACCCCAGGCCGCCAAAGTGGAGTGCACAAACTTAAGCACTACGCCATCAGGCCAGCCCCTACTGGGGAGCAATTTAAAGGCCATTTGTCCATAAGATGCTTCACTCAAATGAATACAGTCATGCACCACATAACGACATTTTGGGCAATGATGGATCACATATACAACAGTGGTCCCATATGATTAGTAACATATAGCCTACGTGTACAGTAGGCTATACCATCTAGGTTTGTGTAAGTATACTCTGTGATGTTCACACAACAATGACACTACCTAATAATGCATCTCTCAGAATGTACCTCCATTGTTAATCAATGCATGGCTGTACCTAATTTCATATTTAGGTACAGCCATGTATATTAGAGGTCAGCCTGGTGGCGTAGTGGTTAAATTCGTGCATTCTGCCTCGGTGGCCCGGGGTTCACAGGTTCAGATCCTGGACACAGACCTACTCACCGCTCATGAAGCCGGGCTGAGGCAGCATCCCACATAGAAGAGCTACAACTCTACAACTATGATATAATACACAACCATGTACTGGGCCTTGGGGAGGAAAAAAAAAAGAAAACGAGGAAGATTGGCAACAGATGTTGGTGCAGGGCCAATCTTCTTCAAAAAAAAAAAATAAAGAAACAAACATTAGCCATGGAGAACAGGGTTTCCTAACATCTTTATAGAGCCCTTGCTTGTTTCACTAGAAATTGGAGTTGTAGAATTTTAGGTTTGGATTTGCAAAATTATTTACTTCAAATTTTGATATGTGCAGCTTGGAAAAGCTGCCTCAAGCGGATTGTGGCTCTGGATTTATGACTTTCTGGTCTAAATGATTCCCTTACTCATGCTTAATTGAATCTCAGTTTCCAGGACAGGGGTTGGAAAACTGTGACTCACAAGCCAAATGTGACCCACTACCTTCTTGTGTAAACGGAGCTTTACTGGAACACATCTGTTACCACCCAAGGAGGGTCGTCTGCCTGCTGCAAGACGTGCCAATAATAAAGAGGCAAGGTGGTAGGAGAGAAAGTGTTTTATTACAGCTTGCTAGTAAGGGGAAGATGGCTGACTAATGCCTGAAAGAACCATCTTACCAAACAAAGACTACAGGCCTGTTATATAGGGGGCTGGTCTCTGGGTGGGGGAGGCATCTGGTCTCCAGGTGGGGGCATCCATCTGATCTCCAGGTGGGGGCAGACATCTGGTCTTAGTTCCTGATAATCTTTTGTTTTACTGGATATGCATCAGAGACCAGAGCAATGCCCTATACCCAGATCTTCCAGTTGTCATTGATGATGGCTATCGGCATAGACTCTCTGCCCAAGTGGTCATCACACTCCTAAGGAACTCAAAAGAAAAAGTTATGGGCGAGCCCAAGTGGCTTAGTGGTTAGGTTCGGTGCCCTCTGACTTGGTGGCCCAGGTTTGGTTCCCAGGCACAGACCTACACCACCGGTCAGTGGCCATGCTGTGGCAGCAGCCCACATACAAAGTAGAGGAAGATTTGCAACAGATATTACATCAGGGCGAATCTTCCTCAAGCAAAAAGAGGAGGATTGGCAATGGATGTTAGCTCGGGGCGAATCTTCCTCAGCAAAAAAAAAAAAAACAAAACAAATTTATCAACTTATCGCAGCTGCGAGGGGCCATAAAATCCACAGAGCATGTATATCTCCTGGAGGGTGCATATCCAGCTGCGTTACTCAGCTCATTCAAAGTTACAATATGGTTTCTTTTCTACAGTATGGCTTCCCTTATGTCAACCTTGTGTTTAGCCAGTATCACATCCAGGCACATTTGTTTCCATATTCTCTATAGCCGCTTTTGGGTTACAACAGCAGAGTTGAATAGTTGTGAGGGGCCCACAAAGCCTAAAATTATTTACTACCTGGCCCTTTACAGTAAAAGTTTGCTGACTTCTGCTCTAGAACATCAGTCCAAAAACTCACGTTTAAAAAAAAAGAAGGGGCAGGCCCGTTGGCGCAAGCGGTTGGGTGCACGCTCCACTGCGGCGGCCCGGGGTATGCTGGTTCGGATCCCGGGCGCGCACCGATGCACAGCTTGTCGGGCCATGCTGTGGCAGTGTCTGATATAAAGTGGAGGAAGATGGGCATGGATGTTAGCCCAGGGCCAGTCTTCCTCAGCAAAAAGAGGAGGATTGGCAGATGTTAGCTCAGGGCCGATCTTCCTCAAAAAAAAAAAAGCAACACTCAATTTAAAAAGTCTTCAGCATACAATTTTTCATCTTTAATTACACAATGTAGGTATGATTTAAATAAATTTAAACAAAGTATAAAAAGTACTTTTTTTAACCCTATTATCTCCTCTTCAGTTGATACCAGTCTTTGCTTTCCTCTTCCAGAGCTCAACATACTACAAGCTTTTCTTTGAGTTCACTCTTCCAGAGCACAGGCCTGATTCCAGGGCTGCTTAACAGGAACAGTCATAACAGGCAATTTGCCATTTATAATGTTTTCTCTCTGCTCTTGTGTAACTAACTGCTTCTGCTAACCCATCAGCTTGTCTCTGTCTCTCAGTGTCCAGGCTCTTCTGTTGGACAAGCAGGGCCCAGGGAGGAATCTCCAGGTGGGGTCCCAGGACCTGGATGAGATGGAACTGACCTGGGGCTGTGGAACTAAGAGCTGAAACCAGCTTATGGAGAGTAGGGTTGAAAACCACTACTCATATAAGCAGGCAGATTCCAAAGTTAGAACACAGGTTGCCAAAATTTAACTGCTACTCCAAGCTGCCCCTTCTCAGCAGGAGCAGGTCCTGCAGCCAGCTTTGGTGTCTTCATAGTTGCAGCCCTTCCTTATGGCACATTCTGGGTCCCCAGGCCAGGTCACTGAGGCTCGGAGCAGAGGATGGGGCTTCAGGAGGCTGGGCGAGCAGAGACTAGTGAAAGTCAGATGGATTCTCATGCAGAGACACCTCTGGCAGGAGAGGTCCTGGACTTATAGACTCCATCACCTTGAAGCTGTCTGATGGTGTGCCCCACCTGCAGCCCTCTCATGTCACCTTGTGACCCACCTACCCAGAGGACAGTATTCCCCTTCTTGGCAACCCATGGCTCACCCTGCTACTGCAGGCCATCAGAGGATCTGGGATATCAGAGGATGCCTGATAGGTGTAAACCAGAGGCTATGAGTTATGTTCTTAGTGGCAAGCAACAGAAACTGACTCTGACCAAGTTTAGAAAGAAATGGGTATTTATTTGAAGAACACTGGTAGCTCACAGAACGAAGAGTTGAACAACCAGGCATTGGGAATGATAACAATAGTGGGTCTAGGGATCACAGTGGCAGGGGTCCATGGACTTTCTCTTTGAGGGTGTCACTGTCAGGTGACTCAGCCCCAGCCACCTTCTCTTCCTTGTGCCATCACTCAGAAGTCAAATGCCAAGGAGGTGGGATCTGATTGGCCCAGCCTGGGTTATGTGTCCTGCAGGCAGCCCACAGGGATGGGGGTGGAGGTGGGGTCCTGCAAGTTGCAGCTCTCCAGGAGGCACAGAGAATGGGGAAGGGGCAGTTTTTCCAAAGAAAAGAGAAGAAAGGCAGGAGGAAGATGCAGGAAGGAGGTGGCCACTCCCCAGAGTTACCATGATAGGGAGCAGGCTGGGTGGAGGGAGTTTTCCCACGCAAATTCTGTGCTGTTGCAGCAAGACTACCAGCCATGTGGTCAGTAAGAAGTACAACACTGGAGTATGCCTGCTTCCTGTGCTTCACTGGCCACTGCAGAAGCACATTCCACCTCCTTCTCCCCTACTCAGCACAAACCTGGAAGGCGATTGTCTGCTGCCCACCCCCTTCCCCAAGAAACAAGTTAATGTAGCTGGTAGACACTGTTTTTGCATGATTAATGAATGCTTTCTGGGCAGGCATTTTTGTCTCCCCCTGCCCCGCACCAATTCTAGAAGACCCATCACTAAGGGAAGCAGGCAGGAAGCCAGAACTGATTGAGTTTTACAACAATAGGGTTAATTTCTTGAATCCCTGATTTTTCAGAGTGAGAGTCCTACCCACCAGCGTGGGGACTCACCCAGTTGGCCGAGACCCCTCAGGCAGAGGGGACTGACACAGACCTGAGAATGAGAGCCACGCCATTTGAGGCCAGGAGAGCCGGGTAGAATCGTGTGCAGTGATGTGGAGCCTCTCAGAGGCCGGGGTTCAGGGTGACTCCCCATGACTGCATGGGGGAGAGTCCCACAGAACACTAAATTCCCTGAGCAGATCCAGGGCCATCGGAAGGACAAAGAAAGGGAATGATGTGACTGGGAGAGGCTGTGGACCAGATTAATTCCTGATTTCTAGGAAAATACTAGAAAAAGAGGGGCACGGAGGGTGATTTTTAAGCCCCCTACACCAGACTTGGAATTTCTATAGAGCTGACCCCCATCCAGGAGAGAGAAGGGGCCATTCCAAAAGCAGCAGCCAGGGGTCTGCCTCTAGGGCAGGGGGGTTGTACCAGAACTGGCAGCCCTGGTGGCACTTGGCAGGTGTCCTGGGCCATCAGGCAGACGCACCTCTACTTGATGCAGCCAAGACTGAGGGGGCTCCCTGTGCCCAACAAATGGCCAGGGGGCTGGTCTTAACGTAAACTGAATTCAGGGGAGGATTCTGAACCCACAGCAAAGGTGGAGGGAACA